AAAAAAAAAAAAAAAGAGCCCCAGCTTTGAAGTTGGGCAAATCTGGGGTCAAATCCCAGCCCTTGGGAGCCAGGAGAACTTTGGTGAGCTACACATTGTTTGTGAGCGTCAAACTCCTTGAGGCAAAGTGGGGATGGTAACACCCAACTGCGCGGCTTAATGAGACACCGCAGGTGAAGTGTTTGACACAGCGCTTGGAACGCAGTAGTAAACGGTCAGTAGCTGGGAGCTATAATAACCACAGGAAGCCAGAAGGTGAAGGAGGAGGCGGGTTGAAGAAAGAAGGAGGAAAACCGGAAGAAGGGGGAAGGAGGGACGGAGATGGAGCTGGCGAGGAGGAAGCCAGGCAGGAGCAGAAGGAGAAGCAGAAGAACCAGAGGGAGGCCGGGCGGTGGCAGTCTTTCCAGCATCTACAGCATCCTGCTGTATAGAAACGGAGGGAGAGACGGTGAGCGGTGGCTTTTAGGTAAGGGGTCAAACCCCAACTCTAGCACGTACATATTCACGACTCCTGACCCATCTCTGTTAGTTCCAGAATTTACCATTTGATCTTCCCTTCAGACCACATAAGTTCACTTTTTTGCTTATAGTTTGACTGAAGGAAAGAACCCAGCCAACTACCTCCCCCTGAAACAGGAATATTACGTAGGAGACCAAAGGAGGCTCCAGCTTGGAGATGCTCCCGAAACTCTCCATCCTCCCCTGTTCCCTTTCTCCTCTTGTCTCTGTGGAATGGTCGTCCTGTTCCTACGTCTGTTCTCCAGAGCGTAGCCAAGAAGGGGGTCTCAGAGGCTGGGCCGTTCCTCGGAATTACTCAGGGCCACTAAGCCACCTTCCTCATGGAGCGAACCGGCCGGACTTCTAGCCACAGGAAGTATAAGAGCTCATCTACCACCGTTGGCTCCAGAACTGGGCCTGGGAGGCAGGGAGCAAAGATTGCCAAAGAAATGAGGCTTCAGGAAACACTGCTGCCCTGATGTGTCCATCTTTTGTGGAGACATTTCCACAGAATGTTTCAAACTAAGAACCAGGGTGATTTCCCTGGTTCCAAGAGCAAGGCAGCTGTGCCATTCCAGGACTCTGGAACGGCAGATCCAACTCTCTGCGTGTGTATGCGTGCGTGCATGCGTGTGTGTGTGTGTAAGTTAAGCATCTGAAATATAATTTATGGATTGTTAGAAACCAACTCTCGCTTGTTACCCACATCAAACATTTCATCCAATAACGATATATATGGTCCAGAATAATGAAGAGCTGCCCACATTCACAGCCTCCAACATAAGAACTTGACCGGGTCTGAAGATACGCAGAGGAGTGATGCTGGGTGTCGGCCAAAATTTTAGTGAGGAGCTCATAATGTAGCTCAATCATTTTATAGTGTACCTAAAACAAAGAGCACTGAAATCCCTGTAACACTACAAGCACTCTCTGACACAAGTCTGTTCAGCATCTTCATGGACTTAAGATTCGTACAGACTTGGCTTGTCTACCTGGCAGCTGTCATTGCCTTTCAGACCATCTCCCCAGTGTATGGCCACCCTCCCCACCAACGGCCTCCACACCCTTTCTGGCAGTATTCCCAAGTACTTCCGGGTTCCCCAGACAACGCATTTCAGGATTATCTAGAGCCCTGAGATCTAAGATTTAGTGCTATGTACCCTCCCGATATATTAGCTATGGCTTATTTTCTGTATTCTGATGCTCCGACAGCCGGGGAGAGTCTCTTGCTAACCCTGGAGAGACTGTGCTTGCAGGACCAGTCAATTCCTAGAGACAGTAGACAACGTGCATGCTTTTCAAATGCAAACCCACCAATGCAGAGCCCACACCCCTGACCACTTTCTCTCATACTCTGGGCCACTACCCCCTGCCCTCATCACCTGGGGCCAGGTACCAAACAATGAGGGACAGTCCCTATGCCCCGCCCCAGCATCTGCTGAAATTATTCCAGCTAGCCTGTCCTAGGCCTGCTTACCCTGCAAGGCCATGTTTTCCTGTAGGAACCATAGTAAAAGCTCCTGCCCCCATTTCCCCCCTCCTTCTGTCTCCTGACCCACCTGGCGCTTCCCTGTGTGTCCCCCATGCCCCCCCCCCGCAAAGCGTGGTGCACCCCCTCCTTTGGGAACTGTGAGTAACAAATTATCATTTCAATGGCAATTGTCTCCTAATCTGTCGGCCTTACTGAGCCTCACATTTCCTGAAAACACACTGTATTTGAAAACATCAAGGAAACAAAGTTTTCCTGGAGGGAAGGGAGTTAAGGATTGAAGTTTAGTTGCGGGGACCACACAGTTATAGGCAAAGTGACCCCAGAAAGGAGTTTTTAGTCATCCCTGAGAGAACAGTCTTCCGTCTTACAAAGTTTTCCATCTGTGCTAATGTTTTCAACCCAAACCTTGGGTCCCTACTTCTTACAGTGATCTACCACAAAAACATCCCCATTTTTATTCTCTTTCCCTTTCTGAGCAACCATCTTTTTATCATCTTTTTAAAATGACTTTCTTGTGCCAGCTTTAATGTCCATATAGTTACATTTATACAGTTATTCAACACATTTATTGACCACCGACTGTAGGCACTGTTCTGGGCCCAGGGGATACAACAGTAAACAATACAGACAAAAATCTCTAATCACGTGGAGTTTATAATCCAGTGATTTAGATTGGGACAAGCCAGACAGTAAACAACTTGAATAAATGGTATGTTGAGTTGGGCTTTAGCAGGACAATAAGGCAGAAAAGGGAGAAAATATGTGCCAAGAAGGTGGGGAGTTCACATTTTTTATAACAGCTTTCTTGAGATATAATTTAGATACCATAAAATTCACCCTTGTATGCTGTTCAGTTCTGCGGTTTCTAGTGTATTCACAGAGTTGTGCAACCTTCCGCACTATCTACTTCCAGGATATTCTCATTTTCCATCCCCTCCCCAAAAAACATCATAACCATTAGCATTCCCTCCCTGTTGCCCCGTGTCCCCAGCTCCCAGCACCACTCATCTACCTTCTGTCTCTGGATTCGCCTGTTACGGGAATTTCATATAAATGGAATCAGACAGTCTGTGGCTTTTTGTGTAGTTTCTTTCAGTCACCATAATGTTTTTAAGGTTTGTTTATGTGACAGCATGTGTCTGTATTCCATTCCTTGTCATGGATGAATAATATTCCACTGTATGCATTTACTATAATTTGTTTATTCACTCATTAGTTGATGGGTACTTGGGTTTTTTCCACTTTTTGGCTACTGAGAATAATGCTACTGTGAACATTTGTGCACAAGGTTCTATGTGGACTCATGTCTTCATGTCTCTTGGGGATATACCTAGGAGTGGAGTTGCAGGGTCATATGGTGACTCTACGTTTCACCTTTGGGGAGACAGTTCTATTTTGAATCAAGTGATCAAGGAGGTCTTGCCGATAAAATGACATCAAGCAGACATCGGAAGGAGGTGATCTAAATAAGCCATACCTAGAAATGGGCAAGGGTGTGCCAGGCAGAGAACAGCAAGATCAAAGACAAGAACATACCTGGCACGTCTGAGGAATAGCCAAGTACACTAGCGTGCTGCTTTAGGATCTTATAATATCCAGATTTGAGTCCCAGCTTGGCCACCAACTCTATTTAGTAGGAAAAGCACAAACACCCCTCGAGATAACAAGTATACCACGGTGAGCCAAACGTGACAGTCAAGATCAGACCAGTCCAAATTCGGCCACAGGAAAGTTGTCATTATTTTCATTTTTTTAAAAGACTTTATTTATTTATTTGACAGAGAGAGACACAGCCAGCGAGGGAACAGAAGCAGGGGGAGTGGGAGAGGAAGAAGCAGGCCTCCCACGGAGAAAGGAGCCCGACACGGGACTCGATCCCAGGACCCCAGGATCATGACCCGAGCCAAAGGCAGACGCTTAACGACTGAGCCACAAAGGACCCGTAGTAGAAGGGTTTGTTTGCCTTTCCTTCCTTGTTTCTTCCTTTTGACTTAGAAAGTAAGTCCAATCGAAGGGATGGAATTATGCCACTTGTCTTAGGAGGCAAAACAACTGTGACAGATCCATGTCCATGCACAAACTCTATGTACACATAAAATGCAATCATTGTAGTGTTTTTATCCACTAAACTAACATTTCACCAAGATAATCTTTGCCTTTGGAAAATTCACAGTGGGGGCAGGTTTCCTCCTATGAACGAAACAGGAATTTGAGCCAAATTTAAGTAAATCTTAAAGGATAGCTTATCTTACTTGACGTCAACATTATCCTGGTAAAAGGAAAGCGGCGTCTGGGACCTCTATTACATCATATTTTTCATAAAACTTATCTGCAATTGCACCTTTGAGAAGAATCTTATTGTCGCTTGCAAAACATCTTTCCAGTTCTTGGGTATGTTTCTAGTTTCTTCCTTTGTCTTCCCCAAGATAAATCAAATGAACTTTTAACCAAGATTAAACCTCCACAAAGGAATTACATGGAATGGTTCACAGTCTTAGAGAACTATGTCCACCGTCTGCAATCATTTCTCCTTGGGTCTCCGTGTGATCGCGGGAGGAACAGTGACTTGATGCATTGCCTCCATGGGAGCTATGCGTTCCATCTGGAAGCTCCCTGCTCTCCTTCTCCCGCTCAGTGTTTCCATCTCTGGTGTCATAATATTCTTCCAATACATGCACACACACTGCAACACCTGTCTTTCTGGCGTCACTTCCTGACAGTTTTAGAATAAAATCTGCTATTGTTTTTGTCCCTAAGCCATGTGTGTTCTTTCAGTTCCAAAATACAACCTTACCAGGGGAAAGACTGGATGGGCAAAATAGGAATCTCCGCCTTCATCATTATTTAAAATCAAAGTCCCAGGGGCACCTGGGTGGCTCAGTCGGTGAAGCGTCTGCCTTCGGCTCAGGTCGTGATCCTGGGGTCCTGGGATCGAGACCCGCATCAGGCTCCCTGCTCGGTGTGGAGCCTGCTTCTCCCTCTCCCTCTTCCCTATCTCCCCGCTCGTTCTCTCTCTCTTTCTCAAATAAATCAATAAAAACTTAAAAAAAGATTAAAGATTCAAACCCCCAGAGACTTACAGCTTTTCTGCCCAGAAAAGCCATACTTCATTGCATTCAGTTGATTTTCCATGCAAGACACACCATGATTGCACCCTCCCTCCAACCATGTCAGCAAAGAGTGAAGACTGTATAAGTGCAAAATCCAAGCATTAAGTTTGTTTTTCTTTTTTTTTTAATTGAAGTATAGTTGACACGTTACATTAGTTTCACATAGCTTTTCGTTCTCAAAACCTGTTTCTTCTTCACTTCCTACTATTTTTTTAATTTTCAGTTTTTAAAGGGAGTGCACATGCCCATGTCTTAGAGTAGTATCTGCAGGGAATGAATCCACAAGAATTCAGTTGGAACACAGTGGCCAGCATGTCGGGAGCCCTCTGTGTGCGGTGTTGGCACCCATTAACGCATTCATCTTTGGCAACAACCGTGAAGTAGCGGTTATGTTACCCATTTTACAGATAAGAAAACTGAGGTGTTATGAAGGCATGTGACTTGCCATAATTCACCAAAGATCAACATGTGAGGAAAGAACAGAACCAAAAGTCAAAAGTGAAGCTGTCTGACCCCAAATCTGTGCTCAAAACTGCTCTACCATGTCTGCCTATTCCATGGCATGACCAGAAACACTTGGAAACAGACGTGAATCCAATTTTTTATGCGGAAAGTGTGTATACGAATCGTGAAGGGAGAAAACAATGCTTAGTTGGGGTTTTAAATACTAAAAATTGGGGTGAGAACATGACTACAGAACACGGCCTGTACTTCTCTGTTTTGAAAACAACTTTTAGCCAAGAGCTATATTCAAACTATACAACAATTTTGTGTCATGGGGGCCAACCAAGGGGGAATGGGCCATGGCCAAGCCATTGGAACAGGGTTCTGGAGGCCTCCTGCAGAGATGGGTGTTGACCCTTTAGTTGCTGGATCTGGGGGCAGCAGAGAGGAAAGGGCCCACGGGGAGGGGCCAGGGTGTCACACTCTTCACCTCCTACTGGAGAAGGGGTTCAACATTTTGTCAATCAGTGTCTTCAACCCAGTGCCGTCCAGCACAGGTCGGGCCAACCTGAGCCCACTCTGTCCTCACTGCGGTACCACGGGCCACACTGAACCCTGGTAGGAACCGCTTCCCTGTATTCCATGCCCACTTGGAGGAGGTGGATGAAAATAAAATTTTAAAGAACACTGGATCCCCACAAATTCATTTTCTTCAAAAGATTCTGGAGGCCAAAGAAAAAGGTTTTAGAATAGTCTATGGATATGGTGGAAGCATCGTTTACACGAGTCAACACAAGAAGAGCCAGATAATTAGTCTAAATTTCCACAAGGTGGCAATTCATAATTAGTTTAATAGTAAAACGTAATAACATGGAAAATGCAGGTAAATTTTAGCTGATGATTCTTTTTTTTTTTTTTTAACAGTAAATGCTAGGACAAAATGGTCAGTATCCCAAAAGTTACAGGCTGACTCAGACTTCATGGTAGCAGGATCTGACCCACTTCAGTGGCTGGAAAGCCTCTGCTTAGCCCACAGAGGCTCTCTGGATAATTTCAGGATTCTCCTGAAAATTAAACTGTCTTAATTATTTGGGTACGCAGCCAAAAATAGTAGTGACAAATAAACCTGGCCTTTGAAGTCAAACAGAGGGTTTGACTCCTACTCCTACCCCCTTCTAGCTGTGTGCTCCTAGGCAGGCTACCTGACTTCTCTGAGCCTCTATTTCCCCAGCTAGAAATAAAGCTCTATAAAAATAACACTTATGTCTTATGACCATTGGAAGGATTAAAGACAACAATAAATTAAAAATGCTTTAAAGAGTATCTAGCCCATAATGAACATTTAATAAGTATTAGTTCCTTTTTCCAACCAAGAAATTCATTTAACACTTGGGCTCAAGGCAACTATGCTGAGTCACAAAGATGAAGGACATGTGGATTGCGTCCTCAAACACCTACCATCTAAATTCCACTGCTTGGTATTTACTGAAGAGAAATAAAACATTTGTGCACAAAAAGATTTGTCCACAAATGTCCATGGCAGCTTTATTCAAAACGGCCACAAACCAAAAATGACTCCAATGTCTATCCACAGACATAGGAATAAACAGACTGGTAATTAAAAAGCTCAGAAATTAACCCCAGGAGTTAGTGTCAGAACTGAATTATAAGACACCCAGTTAGTGTCAGAAAATTGGAGAACTGGGCGGTGTTTGAAAAACAGCACAGGGGCATATGATTGTATAAAGCAAACCTTAATGAAGTTGATTTAAAGAGAAAAATCTACAACCAAGCAAAGAGTTTTTCACACTGTTCTTTGCACTGGGTCCCCTTGGGGTGAAGGTCCCCGAAATCATACTCAGAGCGGCTCTCCTTCCATCTGATTTTTACACTGGAGATCCATTTAAACAGAGAGGTACGTGGCTTAAAAATACATATTTGAAAGGCACTGGTTCCTTTGTAAGAGTCCGTTGGAAGTGAACAGTCTGGTTGGCCCATGCAGGTGAGGGAACAAGGGCTTGGTTGTTTCCCCAGAGTCTAGATTCTTCCTGGGCAGCATTGCTTAAACCCAGCTGCACATCTCAACCCTCTGAGGAGCTTCCAAAAATACTCTGGTGCCTTCTCAGTGGATCAAAGACACCATCATGGTACAGAGAGTCCCCAGGCATTCTAGCCAGGTGGAGAGCCATCACCTGGTGTGTTCAGGAGCTATCCAGAGCTCCCAGTCCCCCACCTAAATATTTCACAGAGAACCTCTTCATACCACCCAAATCCCTTATAGGCACTCTGAGACACCATCAAGCAGCCTGGTTAGTGGATCTGACCTAATAGTATTTCAATCTCTGAATCTAGTTAAAGGTTGGAGAATATCTCTACCCCTTAGAGCAAACTAAAACCAGGCTGTATTTCTCTGCTTTATTTTTGCAGAATCTGAAGAGAAATTAATCTATGAGTGTGAGGTTTTTAATAGGAGCTTTATTTCCCTCCCTAGATAACCTGTTTCCTTCCAGCAATAGACAAACGTTTTTTTAAAGGGAATACAGAGAAATCTGATCTGCTACAAAACCAGCGAACTAAAATTCATGCCCTGGGACTAAAGCATATTTTACCTCATTAAATCTGCCTCAACGAGGAGCCAGAAGGAACCATCCTCTCAGCTAAAAATACCATAAGGAGCTCGTTGCGACACCGGCGCATCACTTAGTGGCCGGTGACAGCTAAGCCCTGGAGGAGTTCTGAGTGTACCCTTCAGCATCGGTGAGCTGAGTGTACCCAAGGACGACCAGACTGAAAAAAGCAGATGACAATTTTACTTTTTTTCTCTCTGCAACCTAAGTCTTTGGATCGGAAGCCACCGACCGACTTCTAGAGTGCTCTGGGCTGACTGGGCTCCATTTCCCTCTATAACGGGGGCCGGCGTGGGTGGCCACAGCAAACAGCCCAAGAATCTGAGAATGAAGGGGATGGAGTTGAACCTGATGCTTCAACTAAAAACTCAGCATATGTGGATCACAGCTGAGAAGTTCCAAAGCCTGAAAATCATGACTGTGGCATTGAATCTAAAGGCAGAACAAGAGGACCATGGGGATCCAGGGAAGGAGATGCTCTGAGGACAAGGCACGCACTGCCCACTTTTGCCCAATCGGGAACTGTCCAGGGGGCGCAGCTATGGTCAAGGATGCAGAGAAAATGGTTTATTGGGAAGGCTGCTCCTGGCCACAGGTGGAACCCAGGTAGATCTCGGTCCCAGCTTGGCCATTTCTGGGCTGTGGGACCTTACGTGAGTACTGAACACTCCGCCCTCACACCTCCCTGCTGCCTCACTTTCTTAATTTGTCAAATGAAGATGGTGTCCACCTCATCAGGTTACCATAGGGATTATGTGAAGCCCTTAATACAGAGCCTGACTCATTGCAGGCACCCAACAAATGTCAGCGAATAAAAACACTATGAAACACAAGAACCACAGTGGCCTAATTTTAATCCTAAACTGTGAGTTTGATTCATGTGAGAGGTGGGGGCACACTCCGGTGCTAACAGGCTCCGTCTGCTGGACTTGAACCTGTTCCACCCAAGTTACTCCTTGACCCCCGCATGCACCTGCCCGGCCGAGTCCTTTCCCACTGTGCATCTTCCGCCCCTGAGAGCATCACTGTGGCTTTGAACAATCTCCGGATTTCTAGTTCTGGAAAACAACCGACCTGCTGATATGTTTCAAGATTTCACAATTCATTTTTTCTACTTCCAACAAAGTCCCTCCAAAACAAATAGAAAAAAAAAAAGCTGAAGATCTTAGACAATCATGAAAGCAATGCTTTTGTGAGGATCATGAATATATCTCCAAATAATTGGAAATATGCTGTATTAGGGCTGGGCTGAAGGGCTGGATGGGGAGGCACTTGGCTCATCAGTGTTCTGTTTATACTCCTGGGAGGAGCTAGAACCATTTAGAGGCTACAGGAAGATCCTGTACCTTTACCCGAAGTGTCCATAGGCAGTCGGTCGTTGACTGGGTTTAGACTCCTTCCATGGAACGCAACGGTGTGAAATTCAATCAATTACTGGTTTAATGGCGTTTAAGAATACACAGCATTTTGCCCAAGATACATTATCTTGGCTAAAAGCATGATAAAAGATTATGCTAATTAATTGACCAATTGGCATGCAGGGTTTCTGTCTGTTCTTCCTCTGTCCGGTTGGCAAATCCCGTGCCCACCTTCTGATTTCAACAGTTCCCTGCCTTGTCCGAGCTGCAGGGGGCTCTGGGGGGCAGCACGCTGTGTCCAGAAGCTTATGTTCTATCACCACCTAATGGTCCTTCTCCATTATTACAATTCACTAGGGTCACTAAGCAGAATCATGCTTGCACAAGTAGGTGTCATACTGAAACTGTTTTGTAAAGGAAACATTTTAAAATGTTCCTCAAGGAACTACGCAGGCAACACATCTCATTCTCTTTATGCACCTCTCACCTTTAGCCTAGAAAACAAAGAACTCAAAAAACCTTTATTGCACATCTGGGATCCAGGCACCAAATGAAGACTCCAACCCAAAGAAATGCAAGGAGACCCCAGATGGGAAAAGAGCAGAGTGCAGAAGGGAGCATTTCTTGTTCGGGGCTTAGAAAAAGTGCACTTGAATTTTGTGTAGTTGTTTTCTACTTAGGCGTCTGCCTTCAGCTCAGGTCATGATCTCAAGGTCCTGGGATCGAGTCCAGCGTCAGGCTCCCTGCTCAGCGGGAAGTCTGCTTCTCCTTCTCCCTCTGTCCCTCCCCCCTTCTTTTGCGCTCTCTCTCTCTCTCAAATAAATAAAATCTTTAAAAAAATCAAAAGAGAAACCGTTACTTGGAATTTGGGCCTTCTGTAGACTAATAAATCAAACTCCTTGTACCTATATCATCAATTATTCCATTTTTCTGGTCTTTTCTTTTTTCAAAATGATTTTGCTTATTCATTTGGGTTTTTCTTTTGAATTTCATTTTTACATATTCATAATGCTGTTTGGTTTCTAGAAATTTCCTATACGGATAAAGTGTGTGGAAGTTTAAAACTGTATTTTGATATTGCACAGTCCGTATTGGGGGGATTTTCCTCACTGCGCCCCCGGACTCACCAACCACTTAAGTCTAAGCTGAGTCCGCAAGAGACCCGTGCTGTTTATAGGGCATTACAGACCTAAGTGGAGTCCGCATTGCAATAATACTTTCAAGAAAAGGAGATGAGAGTAAATAAAACTACACTCGTACAATGTTAATTTTCTGATTAAAGAAAGACAATATAAGAAAAAAATAATTCCATTTAAGTAAGTGGTCATCTTTGTTCTCTTGCTTATTATTAGCACAAATAGTTATTTTCATCTAAAAATACGAGAACCAGGAGGAAAACTGGCAACCAGCTAAATAAATCTATCTCCATCCGACTCTACCCCAAAAGGGCTAAAATCCAGCCCAAGCAAGAGTGAAGAGCTTGAGGCCTACCTCTGAGTGGAGTTGTTACTAAGTACACACGCTCTTGAGACAGGACAACATTTAGTGCAATAAAGTACAAAATAGAAATTAATTTTTAAATACATGCATTTTCATTTCACTCTAGTCTCACCTCATATGTAACAAAGAAAGAAATGTTTTTAAGGCAGTCTACTTCAACAATTGGGAACAAAATAATCTTAATTCTCTTCAAAATGCCTCTTTTGTTACTAGGGTAACAAGAAAAGAGCTGTCTGCAGAGTTCCCGTGAGGCACACAACCTCTGTCACCACACAACACGTTCCCAGATGACACAGACAGGCTGAGCCACAAAATCAATAGGCAGACGGAGGAGGAGGTCAAGTTTAGGGCCACCCCGCGTGGAAGCGCCATGACTGCCCTTAAAGAGGACCACATCGAGGAGACGAGTTCTCCTGACAGAGTAGAAGCAAAGCTTGCAGCAAGAGAAAGACAAGACTAGCACAGACGCGGGAGAGGAGAGGGATGTCAACAAAATCTCACCAGGAAGGAAAAATCCCTGTGATAACCGGGGATGAGGTGTGTGAGCAGAGAAACACTTCGAGCCTACCTGGTGCGCCTGTCGTCGGGGCTGGACCAGCCCATGGTGAACTCAGGCATCAGGAGGCACAATGACAGGAGCGGGCTCTGCAGGTCGCAGCCGGGGGCTGCAAATCAATGAGAGGCGGGAGGAAAAGCAGCAGCCACTCTGTTGGCGCAGAAACGTGCCAAGACACCAGGGTGCAAATTTATCTGTCCTTCCCGTCATCCCTACACATGTGGATGGCAGACTTACATTTAAATAAGGCTTCAGAGATAATGGGCACAGCTGTGTGGACAATACAAAACATGACGTAAGCAGACAACCAGCGCCGTTTGAAAACATGGACCAAATAACCAGTACAACCGAAAACGCCCATCCCGGTGCAGACAGAAAGGTTGTGCTAAGAATTCAGACTTGGCAACAGACAGACTGAGTTCAGGCAGAACCACACAGAGACTATACATAAAGAAATTAATGTTCCTCAGGACAAGAGATCTGCCATTAATCTTTATTTGTATGATTGTTTTCTGGAAAGCTCTTTATTTTCAAAGCTCTTTATTTTCAGCTAATTCTGAGACAAGTAGCAGAAGGCACATACGAAGAAATACTTTTATTACATCACAAAGAGAAGTTCTATATTTCGAAATCATTTTTCAAAATCGCTTTTTTTTTTTCAGGGTATTAGTAAGAAGATCTATTCATGCAGAGCAAAAAAAAAAAAAAATTAAGCAAAGGCCAAGGATGTCAGGCACACAGAGGTATGCACGAGTTGTCTTCACATAGAATTTCACGTTGCTAAGATCAGGTAGACATATCCGTGCACATCTAACCATGTCAAATGGTACAATCCCTCAGTGAACCCGGGTGTACCGAGAGAGGTGGGCCAGCTTCACGCCAAAGCATTTTGTTGAGTTTGGTTTGTGGGCAGACAGTTGAAATACTCACGGCTTGGGTTTTCTAAAAGAAAGGGAGAATATCAGGGAGAAGATTTCAGGAGGATAAGCCAATGTTTACCATGATCTTCACCATTTATCACACATTAGTGGGAAGTATTCCCTTTTACTCTATAAACCATTACTCATCATTTGCTTCCAAGTGCAAGGAAAGGAAAGGAAATATTTTTTTGTGGAAAACCAGACCAGGTTTATATCCTTTCTCTGTACTAACACATATCAAACACCGTAAGGAAGACAGTATCTCCGATTACAGTTTCCCCACTTAAATTTTGTGGAGAATGGAGAGGCTGAATTTACAAGTTTAGTCCTGGAGAGGGAAATTTAAATGGTCCACACCTCGACTGGAGGACAGTATTGAGTAGCAGCCCTTGGGGAGGGAGAATTCAGTCTCATACTAGAGATTACTTCTCCTGGGGCATTAATTGAGCATCAATTTCAAACATAGGAAATGAGAATTCCTTCCTCATTCCATTCATTGTTCTGCCTGGGTTCTCCACATTCTCCCTAAAGTCAAATCTCTTCAAATAAAATGCCCAGATTCTCCAGGAGCGAAGAGATGGGTTTGCTTTGGACACTGAAGGGCGTGCCCAGTTGAATGCATGACCGCATTGCCATGTTGCATTTGAAAGGATACTGAATCTCTCCAGGGGTCAGGGGAAGGATTTGAGGGAGGTGTCTGAGTCACTCCTTCACGAACAGGCATTGTGACCTCACAACAGACTACTATGGACGGATTCCAAACTAGAGAATCCTTGAAATAGGCAAATGTGCTTGCTGACCACAGCTGTATTTGCTTTTTTTTTTTTTTTTTTTTGCTTCTCTCAATCAGCCTATAAAGCCATCTGGCTACATGGAGGATGCTCTGAGCTCTGCCACTTTACATTCAATATTTTTTTAATTACCACACTAAAATTGCATGATTTTAAAAGAACGTTACAAGCACAGTGAATAGAAACGGATTTAAACAGTACTTACGAGTTTTCACTGTTTGGGGCTTTTTGGTGTAAGAATAAATAATCAGGCTATTTCCCTTCCCCAACATTCTTCAGATAGAATTTCTAAAACTAAACATGCTCAATTTCTTCTTTTCAAAAAATGTGTCCCAAACCATTCCTTAGAAATGAGAGTAGGGACACTAAAAAGATTAACAGACTTCTCAATAGTAACAACAGAAGAAAACTGTTAAAAATTTTTAAATAAAAGAAATGGGATTATTTCCAAAATGACAACCATTAGGCCTTAAAGGGGAAGTCTGTGTGTCCAGAACATGAAAGAAACCACCTGGGAAATTTCAAATGCTGGGCCCAATTCGCTTCGTAATTTAAATAAATGAATAATGAAATTTCCATGATCTGATAATAAGGGGCTACTCTCACCAACTCCGAGATTCCCTAAAAATATATGAATTTTTTTATATTAACTTTTTATGTATAAGCGTAAGAATAGCAAGAGGGGAGAGTCACACTAACCAAATTGGTCTTTGGTATATAGGGTGGCCCTATTCCTTAGCCAATATTTACAAAGCACCGGGGATTTCTTTTTCCTTCTCCCTCTGAGGGTTTGCCCACCCCTCAGGCCATAGGCTCCGAGATGCACTGCAGACCTTCACCGAGCACCTGCTCTATGCTTCAGAGCCCCTCCCTCCTTCTCTCCTTCCCCAGCCCTGCTGATGTCTGCGGCCCCCAAATCGGCCTTACATGTTTCCGCGAAGGGAAGGAGACCAAAAAAATTTTTAGTAAGGAGACTAAAAGAATTGTTCTAACTTAAATTTTAAACGCTTCTAGCACCAGAGCACACGGTAGACCTCACTGCCTAGAGAATAAACTGCTGACACAAATTTGTTCACAAGGTTAAAAAATATTAATAAGAATATAACACTTGCATCAGCATCTGCCAAGTTTCTGGAATAGCCAGATATTTCTGTAACATTTACTGATCTTGACTTGTTTTCATACATACGGTCTTATCTATACGACCCACGATATTTGAGCATTTCTTCTAGGTCCTCAATATCCTCTATCATCAGATACTGTCATCACCTCATCAATATATTTACACGGCACTTACTGAACTACTGAGAATTACATAGCTATCTTATATCGTCAGAAGTTTAAAATTACAAGGCAGCAAGCATCCTTGTCAAAGAGACCTAAGGTGATTTTCACCATATTCCACGATGTCTCTACGGGGGCATTCCCGTTAATGTTTGGTAAGTGTAAACGTCTATCAAGTACTTGTCACTCCATCTCTAGCCGCAGTAGTTCCCTTTCAAGAAGAAGAGGCTGTGTTGTGATTGTCCAAGCCTGTCATTTACTGCCACCATCGTGAACACCGACTGTCACTCCCCACACTCTGTGAGTGCACGGGGCTGTAGGAGAGTCCGTGTACTAGAACGCGGTGACAGAACACCCCTCACTTTCCTGAAGGTCACACAGGGAGAGGAGGAAATAAATAATACGAGACAACCCCTCCCTGCCTCCAAGGTGCACTTTTTCCTAGAAGTCATATAAAGCATGGCCTTGCACACCCTCGCACGCCGGGCACGGGTCCACAGAGCTCAGCAGCCCTGCGGCTCCAGAGCCGGGCAGCCGGGACCGTGCCGACACCGTCAAACGGGCCTGAACTGGTCCCCTTCTCCCGTCGCCCGCTAGAGGCGGTACGCCATGCTGCCGACACGAGTCTTCCACCCCAGGCCTGTGTGGTTACCTGGAAATGTTGAAGAAATAAAGCACGAAAAGGCCTAGGACTCTTCCTCTTCTTCCTCTCCTCCTGCCTCTTCTTTCTCAGCTTCCTCTTCCTCTGCGCCCCCTTCCGCTCCCTCCTCGGTTCTCTCTTCCGTCTTATGTTAACAAAAATGTCGTCATTTGGGAGAAAGGTCGCAGATACAGTGAGGAAAGAAATGTAAAATATCAGGCTAGAGATGAGGGCCTCCACACTCCCCACCCAACACACACACCCATCACACACACAATACACACAACACACACAACACAACACACACACCCATCACACACACAATACACACAACACACCCATCACACACACAATACACACAACACACACAATATACACAATACACACCACACACACACCCATCACACACACAATACACACAACACACAAAACACACAACACACACACCCATCACACACAATATACACAACACACACACCCATCACACACACAATACACACCACACACACACCCATCACACACATAACACACACAACACACACAACACACACACATCACACACACAACACACACACCCATCACACACACAATACACACAACACACACACCCATCACACACAATATACACAATACACACCACACACACACCCATCACACACAATATACACAATACACGCCACACACACACCCATCACACACACAATACACACAACACACACACCCATCACACACACACAATACACACAACACACACAACACACACACCCATCACACACACACCCATCACACACACAATACACACAACACACAACACATCACACACACAATACACACAACACACAACACACACACCCATCACACACACAATACACACAACACACAACACACACACATCACACACACAATACACACAACACACAACACACACACCCATCACACACACAATACACACAACACACACAACACACCCATCACACACAATACACACAACACACAACACACACACCCATCACACACACAATACACACAACACACACAACACACACACCCATCACACACACAATACACACAACATAAACACACACACCCATCACACACAATACACACAACACACACAACACACACACAATACACACAACACACACACCCATCACACACAATATACACAATACACATCACACTCACAATATACACAATACACACAGCACACATCACACACACAAAACACACATCACCCACCCAACACACACACACAATATACACAACACACACAATACACACTACACACATTACATGCACAATACACACAATACACCCATCACACACACAATACACACAACATACACATCACACACAATATACACAATACACATAACACACATCACACACACAATACACACAACACATATCACACACACAACATACATCAAACACAGCATACGCACCCACATACAGACCGCACAATTTGGAATGGTGCTGCACAGCACTACATTAATTCTAATGGTATCATGATTTCTCTTAAGCATGTAGTCTTTACTCATATTAACAGACTATTCCCAACAAATTACTTTTAAAAATTCAGAAGGCAGGGTCGCCTGGGTGGCTCAGTCATTAAGCATCTGCCCTCAGCTCAGGTCATGATCCCAGGGTCCTGGGATCGAGCCCCGCATCAGGCTCCCTGCTCTGCGGGAAGCCTGCTTCTCCCTCTCCCGCTCCCCCTGCTTGTGTTCCCTCTCTCTCTGTCAAATAAATAAATAAAATCTTTAAAAAAAAATTCAGAAGGCAGTTACAAGAATAAAATACGAAAAGAATCTCAACGAATAGAATTTTATCAGAAAGGATGAAGCTTTTAAATGTAGAGGTTGGTTGTATTTTGTTATAGCAATCTAATTTTTTAAAGCCAAAGTCATCAGCAACCTATACATATAACCTGAAATTACTTCCAAGTTAATAGTACCTCTTATCTTTATATATAAAAATGGGATTTTTAAAAAAGGAGACTTGTCTAACAACAAAGAAACTAATTATTGGAAAGATGTAACTTATAATTTTAAAAATCGTAGCATAGAATAGGCTAGAAATAACCTTTAGGTCTAGGAATAGGGATTAATTTGACAAAATGACATTAAAAATAATGAAGCAGATCTATATTTACTGCCTTCCCCCTCCCAAAAAAATATATACACGCATTACATGAATGAAAATAGATTACAAAAGAGTATTCATCAAGATTTGATGTGCATGTGTGTGTGTGTGTGTGTGTGTGTGTGTGTAGCTAGTGGCTATCTCTGGGTAATGGGGCTGTAAACTATTTTTGTTTTCTTCTTCTATCTGTATTTTCTAAATTTTTTATGAAGTCATGAACTATTTCTGGGGCACCTGGGTGGCTTGGTCAATTGAGCATTCGATTCTTGGTTTCAGCTCAGGTCATGATCTCAGCGTCGTGAGATCGAGCCCCAAGTATGGCCGTGCTGGGTGTGGAGTCTGCTTAAGATTCTCTCCCTCTCCTTCTGCCCCTCCCCACTCATGCTCTCTCTCACTCTAAAATTAATAACTAAAATTTTTTTAAAAATAAATATCATGAACTAAGTCTTTGTTTTAAAAGATTTTATTTATTTATATATTTTAGAGAGCAAGAGAGAGGAAGCAGGTGCATGCACACGAGCAGGAGGAGGAGGAGGGAGAGGGACAAGCAGACTCCACCCTGAGCACAGAGCCCTGTGCAGGGCTCGACCTCACGACCCTGAGAGCACGACCTGAGCAGAAATCAAGAGTCAGATGCTCAACCGACTGAGCCACCCAGCCACCCTGATCATGAACTATATTTAATAGTCGTTGTGTGTACGTGTTGGCCTTTTAAAAAGAAACTAAAGATTTTTAAGGGGAATTTCTTTCAACATTTGGGACCTTCTTTAATGTTGATGACCTTCATCAACAAAAGACTTGATGAGACACTGAGACAATATATTTGGTGATTTGGGGTAAATTATTCGCCCTATCCTTGAGTTCTCATTTTGATTTAGCTCTCTGATTAGCATTTTGAAACGATTAATCAAAAAATCTTCATTCACAATATTCCTAAAACTTTTGGTTACAGTGAAAGTCACTGAGCCTCAGCTAACACGAGGGGCTGGAATAGGAGGGAGTCCCTTAGGACCTGCCCTCAGAATCCGCTAACATTCTCTCAGCTGATTCCTCTATACACAGACATGATTCCATCCCCGCGAGGGTTTAAATTGAAGACTCCCCCAACACCCAGCTAATAAGCCACAGATTCAACAAGCAAGCGGCTGGGCAAGAATCTCAGTCTGCCTCATTTGGACATGCAGCCCCTCCAGCACATCAGCAGCAAATATAAAAATAGCAGGCTGCCCTTGCAGGGTTAAATTAATGAAAATTATTGTAAAGTTCCTTATAATGAAGTCCCTCCCCCAATGCCGATTAGCTAGCAAAACAACATTTCTCAGAGAAGGAAAAGATTGTTCTTGGAAGCTCTCACAATTAAACGGGAAGAATTAGAACATTTCAACAAGCAGGAAAAGAATGGGAAAGAAGAGAATTCGTCCGTAAAAAATTTAAGCTGAGTTACAGACCTCCCTGGGTCTGGGGTCTCTTTCCCCCTTCTCATTTCCTGTAACTCATTTCAATCACCGAAAGAAAATTATGGATTTGGGTTTTGTTTGTTTCCAAATACAAGTTCTTAATATAAAATAAACATGATCGTCTTTGAAGTTAGATGGACTTTTTACGATGAGCATCCGAACAGTAGGAGTTCCGGCAACTGGGTTCCCCCCGCCAACACCTCAGGGTACCTAGAACTTACGTTCTCATGCAGTGGTTCTCGGGCCTCGTGGGGCATCAGAAACACCTGAAGAGCCTGCTAACCCACAGTTTGCTGGGCTGCACCTCAGAGCTTCTGATTCAGGAGATCTGGGGCCAGGCCTGAAAATGTGCATTTACAGAGGTTCCCAGGTGGGGTTACTGCTGCTGCTTTGGGAACCCCACTTTGAGAACCTCCGCTGCATCCCTATGCCCCCCTTCAATCACGCTGATTAATAACCAGAGCATGGTGAGCACTCACAAGCAGTAGGCTTGGCATCACCACCCGCCAAGGCCTTCATTTTCCAGGGTGGGTTAGGTTCGTTCCCACACTTGCGCATGCAAGTTAGAGTCATATTGTAATTACATCATTTAAGTAAACATCGTGGAAATCAATGAAATGGGAGCATGAAAGGATTTTTTTTTCCCTATGTGAACTTAACGGAATGCTTTGGAAAGACCCAGTACATGCAAGTCACCTTAAAAACTCATCATCAAATGAGGTGTCAAAAAAGCCGGGCTGGCAGGGAGGTCTCACAAAACCTGAGAGATTATGCACCTAGCTTGCTTTGTAAGCGTCTTTAAATTTCTGCTCTGTTTTAAAGAAGTCAAAACTGATTTTCTAGACAGACAAATGAGTTACGCTTATGTTAGAAAGACAACAGGTAACTCTAATCGTTGGACTCTTCTTTAAAAAAATAGTCTTTGTCCTGCATCAAAAACACTGGCAGTAAGTATATGTTTATATATTTCAAGTTAGAGTAAAGAAGTTCTAGGCCTCTGTGTGTTTACAATTTAGCACTTGAAGTGACTTCTTCAATTTGTCAAACCGCCTTCAGTTCCAAACACAGGACATGAGGTCTTCCTTTGTACCTGGGAATGTTGGTTATTATTTAAGCCTAGACTCTATAAACAAACTTATCAGCGAAGCCAATAATAGATTAAATTACGTTACAGAGAATAAATCTTAGTTCCTTAAATTGCATCTTTAATAGCTTTAATATGTTTTCTAGTTAGGTTTTTGTTTTGTTTTGTTTTTCTTCTGTTGTTGTTGTTGGCTTTAAGTAGGCTTCACACCCAGCACGGGGCTTGAACTCACGATCCTGAGATCAAGACCTGAGCAAAGATCAAGAGTCAGAGGCTTAACGGACTGAGCTACCCAGGAGCACCACTAGTTTTTCTTTTAATGTGTTAATTGTGCTTTTAAATCTTATATCCTCAGTACTCTTCATTTTTGAATACTTCTTTTGTACGATTCTTAATCTTCTATCTCTGTGACACTTGACTCTCTTATATTTAAGTTCTTATTCTACCTCTTTTCATAGAAGACATTTCTTTTTTAAATTCTTTATCTCATGGAATGCTTATGTTTCCTTTACATCCTTAATTTTAATTCTTTTCATAAACCTCTTCTTTCTTGTCGGTGGGTGCTTTCTCTTGCGGGCTTCGGAGGGTGACAGGGAGGAAGGCTATGCCCCAACAGGCAATCAGAGGCTCTTGCTATGTGAGCTCTCATCCCCTTCAATCCTGGCCTCCTAAAAGGAAGACAGACTCTCAACCTCAGCTCTATCAGACACCTGAAGGCATGCCGGACCAAGCCCTACAGGGCCTCATTCACTGGCCATGGGAGGCAGACTCCTGGGGGGCTCTACTGCACACCAGGGGATGAGAACCACGGTTCTAACGTAACCTCCCGGTGGGGGGCAGATTAGAAATTCTTCCCAAGTCAGTCACACTCTCCCTGGATAGGTTCCCACTAGAGCCATGTTATGGTTTCCTAATGTCACGTATCTTCCAGACATTTCATGATGAGCTGCGTGTGTAAACTTCTATGACACACAGCTGTAGTGCAACGTCTAAAACTGACTCAATATTACGTGCTATCTTGACATCTGGTAAAATCTGGAAGGCCGGAAATGGCCTAAGCACTGGCCAAAGCTCCCACAGATTAGGTCTCCTACCCAAGCAGCCCGCTTTACCAAGGACCCAGGCACATTGCCTCCCTTTCGCCTGGAATTATCCCAACAAGCCAATCACATCCTCCCTGTGAACCAGGGCGCACCTCGCCCTCTTGCTACCACAAAGCCTGCCTCCCCTCCCCGATGGCTCACACTGTCCCGAGGGCAACCCCTGTGTCCCTGCGCTGTGCTGATGTCCTCATCCCTTGGGCTCTGAGAATATGTCATAAACTGCCAACAGTCACATCTGCCCGGTGTCAGCCATCCCCACAAATACAGGAAGGCAGTCCTTCCCTCACCAACCAGGCGAATAAGAGGCAATCGAAACAACACTGCTAAGCACCACGCAAGCTGCACTAACTGTGCACACTGTGCAGGACTGGGGAGGGGAAGAACGGAAGCAGGACAAGGTCCAGCCCCGCCTGACCCCGCAGACAGCACCTTCACCGCGGGAGGCTCCGGGAAGGGGCACCGCCACGCCCTATTTCTCCATCCACCTCTCTGATAAGTTTACCTCTGACTTGCTATAGTTCCCTTCTCGGCAGGCTAAAGGAGGATTTTCTGGGATGTAGGCTGCATCAGCTTCTTCGTGTCATGAAGAACAAGGAGAAGGTGGCTACGGCCACAATTCTCTGACCTAAAAAATGTTTTTATTAAGCACCACAGTTGAATATGCTACTGTACCTCTTTGTCGCTGTCTCTCCTGATTCTTCCTTAGGTCCATAAATAGAAATTAAAAAAAAAAACATATGAATTCACATAAGTTTTAAGTTGAATCTAAAAATGAAGCAAAGGGCACCTGATTGGCTCAGTCATGATCTCGGGGTCGTGGAATCAAGTCCCACCTCGGGCTCCGCATGCTGATCACTGAGTCAGCTTGAGATTCTCTCTCTCCCTCTGCCCCTCCCCCTACTCACACTCTATTTCCCTCTCTCTAAAATAAGTAAAATCTTTACAAATATATTTAAAAATTAAACTATGATACATTTTCATCAAAATGAAAGACATTAATGTATTGATAAAATATATAAATAACAAAAACATGATAACTAAGCAATGCCTACTTATTTCATGTGTTGTATTTGAAGCCCTTAGAATGAGATTAGAGACATTTTTCCACCACTCTTACTCCTGAGAAAATATAATTCATTAGTAATACTGCCTAATTACATGTTTAATTCTGTCTATATCCAAAGAATATTGCAGATCTGTAGCACTATCTAGGAAAATTCAGACCATACATGCAAGCAATTAGAATATTTGAACAAAATTATGTCTTTTCTTACTTTATGTCCTTATAAGTATGCCTTTCCTTCAGCTTTGAACCAGTAAATAAGAGTAGGTCAAAAACTTATCCTCCATCAAAATAAAATAATAACATTTCTGAAGCATTTAGTATTTAAACAATGATTTCTGGTTAAAGAAAGAAATTTGCAAGGTAGGAGAGGTGAGGCCATCCCAAACTCAAATAGGTCTCCACTGTGCCAACCCACTAGAATTTATGTTTCCCTGGATCAAAGTAGTAGGACCAGGCTGTATCTCCTACAAATGCAAGGAAACAAGAATTTTTCTAGTCCTTCCCAAAATGGCCCTATGATAAGTGTTGGGGGGCCAGTGTACTAGAATCGCTTTAATTAAGTGGAGGAAGCAGTCCCTAAAAATTCCTCATGCCTTACGACTTGGGCAGTGAGCTCACAGAATCCTGCACTGGGAGAGTTGAAAGCAATCTCACATTCCCATAGCTTCTCACTCCAACCTGCCTTTGGACAGATGAGACCACCGAGGCCACAGAGTTAAGTAATTTGCCAAAGATCAGAGGACAAGTAAGCAACACAATCAGGACTGATTTCAAGTCTCCTGGTCCCTGATTTCGTGCCCTTCCTACTCTACTTACCATGCTATGTCTCAAGATAAGGAACAGAAAAGGCAGAATCATGGAAGGCGTGTGATAAGGACCCACCACATCCCCCAGTGCAGCCCCATGTTCTCGGCCAGTTCCAGAAGCATACTCTCAGATTTCTGAGGTTGGCAGAGAAAATACCATGTCTGCCCAGCGTGGGGAATCTCTAAACTAATCCTTACACCACTGGCAACACATCAAGTTTCAGTGTTAAAATAATGTCCAAGAAGAGGGAGGCCCGCACTTGTTGGTTTCTCAGCCATGTGTTGAGTGTCTCTCTCTAGGACCACCTGATTCGGCCCGTGCCTGGGCTCTCCCCTCCGTGACCCCCAGCTCCTCTCACCCAGGGCACAGCACTGTAGTCTTCCTTATCTGTAACCCTCACTGTGGCCAGGGATACTGTTCCAGAACACAACACACCTTACCATGCTTCCCTCGTGTTGAAAATCTTCCATCTTTTCAAGAAACTTTCATCCATTACCCTTAGGATGGCTGGAAGGCCATCACAATCAGGCCTGGCTTACCCTCACCCTGCCACATCCCTCACCATTCTTTATTTCAGCCATATGGACCACATGCCACTTTCTCACATCTGCCACACCTTCTAGGACTCTGCTTAAAACGACATTTTCAAGGAAGACCTTCCTGACCCATAAGGCTGAGTTATGGGACCCCTCACCTGCTCCCATACCATCATTTATCTGTCTCCCTGACTGGTCTGTGTCCTCCTTGGGGCATGACATGTGCCTTTATTCATTTTTGGATCTCCAGGACCCAGCCACTGTCTGGAACCAAGGTATAAGCTCAACAAATGTGCTAAGTGACCAGATAAATGAACATACACTCTGCTAGTAACTGTTTGGACCTCAAAGAACATTGATTTCCCTCTTAACCACATGAGATCAAATTAAAATATGCAACAGAGAATTATCAGCTATGTAGAGTTTCACATTTTTCTAAATTCAATTATCTGTATGAACTGTATTCAGCTGAAGCAAACACACTAACAAAAAATACAGTGCTAAAAATGGTGTTATCCTTAGAGCAAGGCTGGAGGATGGTAGGGGGTCCCACAGGAATCAGTGCAAGTCTCAGCTTTGACAGGTTAGCCGGCAGCAATTACCAAGGGACCGAGGACTCTCTATCAATATCTGAATTGACCTTAATTTCTTAAAAGAGACATTAAATGGGGAAAGTAATTGCCCAGAGTATTTTTTTTTTAAGATTTTATTTATTTATGTGACAGAGAGAGACACAACGAGAGAGGGAACACAAGCAGGGGGAGTGGGAGAGGGAGAAGCAGGCTCCCCGCTGAGCAGGAAGCATGATGCAGACCTCGATCCCAGGACCCTGGGATCATGACCTGAGCCGAAAGTAGACGCCTAACCGACTGAGCCACCCAGGCACCCCTGCCCAGAGTATTTATAGAAATACTTAGCAGCAAAAAAAAAAAAAAGTCAAGTATGCTTTGAAGAACCCGGGATGTTACCATCAACAGCTCTCCCGGAACATAAGCTCTGTGAGAGCAGGGACTCTGTCTTTTTCATTGCTCTGTCCCCAGCCCCCCAGGAATCCGGCCTGGCAGGGGGCAGACAAGCTGTCAATAACATGTTGAATGGATGCATTTATATTTGCAACTTCTGCCTCAAATCCCTCATAGGAGGAGGGGGGGATATATTATGGAAATACAACTTAAACTTCCATCCTTAGCTCACAGAATTACAAAATATCAGAATTGGACAGAACCTTAAAAGTCATCCATATTCAATGCTTGAGACAGACCTTTATGATTGGCAAATAATTATACCAGCAAAAAGGTTTTGTTTTGTTTTGTTTTTTAAGATCATTATGATCACATGGTCAGTTGAGCTAAGCTCCTGCAAATCTTAGGACAGGCTATGCATCATTCACTTGACAAAACTACAACTTAAAATCATTTTACCTTGTTGCTCCTATAATAAAGTTAGTCAGGGGAAGCGTCCAAAGTAGATAGTCTTAGAACCTTCCCCAGCAGCTATCCTGGTTGGGAACTTGGCCAGCGAGACAGGCTGCAGAGGCGGCAAGCGGCCAGGATGAGGGACAGGTGTCTGCTGTGGTGAGTGTCAGGGAGTGGCTGGATAGGACAGGTGGCTGGTGTGGAAGGAAGCCGAGGGCCAGCCCAGAGTGACCTGAGGAGGGCAGATGGCCTCCGAATGGCTGGAAATCTCAGGGACAAGGGCAGAGTTCTCTCTATCTGCTGGCACTGCAGGGACCCAGCCTGAGACTCACCAGCTCCTCAAAGACCTAAACCAACGTCTGCCCCTCAAGAAAGCAACTTTCCTCAGGACCGGTTTTGGAGGAAGCTGAGTGAGCTTTACAAGCCATAATCATGTAGTCAGTCAAGCCAAGGTCTTAAGAGGTTTTGGAGAGGACCACTGAGTTGGCAAGGAGCACAGCTTAAAATAATTTCACCTCAGTGGAAACCAAACACAAAGCTGCGACATGTCCAGTCTCCCATAAAGTTCTCACAAAGCCCCCAGTCTGCAGGCCCCCCTCAGAGTGTGCCCTGGAGCTGAAGTGACCTTTTGCTTCCTTCCCTTCCTCCTCAGGTACCATTCACAAGCCCGCCTCTCCTCCCTAGCCCCCTGTCCCTCCCGGGTCAGCAGGGAAGGTGACCACAAAGTCCCCTCTCTACTGGGGTCTGGAGCAACAGAGGAGGTCTTCTCAGGCATGAATGAACAGTCTCCCCAGTGTTCACTGTCCTGCCTCCCAAATGCCCCCCAACCCACCAGCATGTGGGTAAGATGCATCTTGGCATATGGTGTTTGAGAGCCATGACGCTTGTGTTGGTGGTCAGGGAGGTCCATTTCATTACAGGAGGTGATGGTTTCTGTCTCCACTTCTGATTTGTTTTTAAATCAAGAGTGATATTCTTAGACAAATATTACTGGCCATTAAAATGGCATCAAAGGGGTGCCTGGGTGGCTCAGTTGGTTAAGTGTCTGTCTTTGGCTCACGTTATGATCCTGGAGTCCCGGGATTGAGTCCCATGTCCGGCTCCCTGCTCAGCAGGGAGTCTGCTTCTCCCTCTCCCTCTGCTCCTCTCCCAGCTCATGGTTACACTCTGTGTCTCTCTCTCTCAAATAAAAAAGTAAAATTGTTAAAAAATAAATAAATAAAATAAAAAGGCATCAAAAATGTCCTGAGTGAGCATGTGCAATAGCTAGAAGAACAAGCCCATGCCCAGACATTACTTAGCTGCCTCATCCCTCTGTGTACCGCGACCAGCCGCCAGAGGCCGTGGCTACCATTGTACACTCGAAAACTGTTAACACACAAATGGAAGGTCTGAAATAATGGTGCACACTGAGCTCTGCAGTCTGTTTCACAGAGAGGCGGTGGCAGCACGTTCTGGTTTCCACACTGTACTGTGGCTATCGGAGATGTCAGCATGGGGCACCGCCACGTGAAGGGCACACAGGGCTCTGAACGACATCCCTGTAAGTCTGTAATTATTTCAGAATGGAAAGTGAAAGTACTTTTGGACTCCTTGTCATACATAGTGTGGCTGAATACCAGGATATGAATTATGTGTTGTTCTCCTCGGCACACAACACTGGGGACAGGGAGTAGAGTTACTGCCCCTCCCACACTCCAAGAAGAGAGCCACAGATTGGTGGGAGTTCTGGGCTCCTAGGGAAGAAAGTAGAAGCCTTGCTTTAAAGATCCTGGACTAGCTAGGAGAGGCAATGAAGCTAGATAGTCCCTAAAAAGGGTGGGGGGGCTTGGAGCTCAGGCTTGGAGTTGTCTTGATGGAAGCAGCCAGACTGGAGACCGAGGGGCAGAAAGGGGACACTGAACCCAGGGGCAGCAGCTGTGCTCCGTCAGAGGCCAAGGGCCTGACTCAGCCGAAGGGCCAGCGCCCGTCAGCCCCTCACCCTGACGGAAGGTCCCACCAGCGTGAGGTGGAGGCGTGAAGCAGATACCATGCTGTTAGACAAATATAGGAAGCTGACATTCTTGCCACATGGCTTAGAAACCAAATGGAGGCCCATGGATACTGGATTCCTTCTATTCCCCATGGAGCGGGGGAGCCCCGCTGTTCAAATACAAAGGGCCAGGAGGAGCACAAGGTAAGACCCCATGAAACCTCCTCCAGGCAGTTTTCAACACGGCCAGCCTTTATCTAAAAAGCACTGGATTGATCTGAGCTGTAAGATCTAGAAGAACCCAGCAGGATCTGTCTAGTACTTTGAAAATCAGTGTTTAAAGAGGTAAAACACAGCAATCTAATTGGCTTCTCTCTTTGTTAAAAATTAGCCTGTCTGAGCCTGAGTGCACCGCGGGCCAAAAGGTGTGAAGACAGCCTAGGTGGTCTTCCCATCTTAACCTTGAAAACCAAACCCAACGGGCACCTGGGTGGCTCAGTCAGTTGAGCGTCCGACTCTTGATTTCAGTTCAGATCGTGATCTCAGGGTCATGAGGTGAGTCCCACGTTGGACTCCATGCTCAGCAGGGAGTCTGCTTGAGATTCTCTCCCTCTGCCCCCGCCCCCGCTGTGCACTTGCTCTCTCTCTCTCTCAAATAAATAAATCTTTATAAATAAATAAATAAATAAATAAATAAATAAATAAATAAATAAAATAAGAACAAACCCAAAAACCATTTAAATGGATGGGAGGTTCTTTAAATACAAAATGCAACCATTCAAAATATCAGATAGTTTTGTCTCCTTTTCAAATTTCAATCCATTTTCCTATATATTCAATTCCAAAGCTAATCATGTTACTATGTCATTTGTAATGCCTACCGACAAATCATGGGGTTTCTTTCTTATACGACTGAATTAAAGTAAGTCAAAGAGCATGGATCGCTTGTCAAATAGGAAAAAGTCAGAATCTATCTTTATGTAGAACAAATATTATTAAAGAGTTGAAAATGACTTTGATCATTAATGTGAATAATACATTTATCTAAAATTAAAATGTCTTTTACTTAGTCATATCTTCATCAGAGCCCAGGCAAAAATAACAAAAATGATTTTTTTTCATTCCTATCAGGATTTATAGGACTATGATTTACTTTGTAAAGGGTTCTCAATTTAAAAAAAAAATACTAACAAAGAGAACCCCAGGCCTGATGGCTTACCACCTCTCTAAACAGTAGCTGAGAAGAGGAAGCAGACCCATCTTTGCCGTAGTTATGAAAATTTACCTTCCTCTCAGTCCCCAGGAGAAAGGGATTGGGGTGCAATGTTTCCTATCTTCGTCTCTCTGTCTTATAGGAAGCAAACTGGATTTCAAAAAATATAAATCGATAATACTGTAAGAAGGCACTAGGCAATTCCTGTAAAGTCTGCATTAAAAAAACATGGATTTTTAAATGACAGGGTAATGAAGTTGCCACTATATTTAATTTAAAATTTATTATTTCTGAATGATACAGGCTGTCATGAAACTCCATCTAACTTCTAGGTCAGGGTTAAAGATCTTGTCTTTCTTCCAAACTAAAGACTTCAAAGAGTCTTAAATTATCAGCACTTTGGGATAGCACTCTTTAAATATGAGGAATTTACTGCCCTGGCTCCTCCAGATTTAAATTCCTTATAATACAGACCAGTTGATGCCCATGCCCACTCCAACAAGCCCATAGCACGTTTCCCCAGGGCCCTTCCTAACCACATTCCATCTGCTGGGAATGAGAGTCCAACTATCTTAAAAGATGTCTACACCCTCTCCTGGAATCAATAAATAGGTAAAAAGAATCATAAATAGGTAAAAATGCAAACCATCATGGTTCAGTAAACAGTCTTTGTTACAAATTGCCCAACGCATTACGATCACTGAAACTCTAGGGGAGGCTCAGCCCAATGCCTGCAACCCCACCCGCTCAGTTCCCTGTGCACCACTGTCTCCCCTTACCTGGCTTCCCAGTTACATTTTCAGAATTCCTTAACTAAGTGGCCCATCTGATCCCCCATTCTCTCAGCTTGGCCATTGTAGAATTACAGTCTCCCCTGCCCTCCCATACTCCCCCTGCCCTTTATTCTGGGGCCCCTGAATTGGGACCCCCTTTAGAATTAGATCACAGGCCTTGGAGCAGCTGATATTCCCACGATTGGATCTGAATTGAGTGTGGGTTTCCCTCTCCGAGGCCTCTGCTCTATCCCCAGCTCCTGTTGGCTTCCCACAAAATGTCCTACCCCGTTACCTCTGTGTCCCCAATAAGCAGTGCTCTTGGTGGGCATTTGCTGGGAATCCATCATTACTCATGACCAAGGGATAAGGTCCCTTGTTTTATGAAGAACTTGAACCTAACCTAACCCCAACAACACAACCACAGATTATTAAAGCCTTGTCTAGCCTGTCCCTCCAGGCCTGGGTTCAGGGTCCTCTGGCTTCCTTTTAGTCCTCAACCTGCCTTGACCACGGTAGTGAACACTTCCCCCTGCTTCCTCCCTGGCTGAACCCTCAGCTCCTGGCTTCCATGCTCACTTCAGTGTGCCCAGGAAGATTCCTGGCACCTGGAGGTGCTTTAGTGCTTCTCGACCTGAATCCAGTGAAACTATGGTACAAAAAGCAAACACTCACATTCTTCTCTTGAGATTCGGCTAGATTGCCCGCATCTTCATTGTCCTCTTTTTGTGCCTCATTTTCTCCACTCTCTTCAGTCTTCTCTGTTCCCTGATCATAAAGGAAACCCACGGTATCATTAACCTTAGATAAGCTTTCAAGGAAAAACCAAACCACACATGCTATGGTTTTTTTATTTTGATATACAGTATATTAAAAAAGCAATCATAAACTTCCTATTTATTAGGTCACTTCACTACTAGAGTATAGAATTACCAACCCCCTATATTGCTCATTGGACCTGCTGTTGTAAGTCAATAGATCTGAGTCATGTATGTGCATGGTAGAGAAATAAAAGCACTAATAAGGAGCTATAATTCACCCATTTAAGGTTTATGAAGAGAACTCCAAAGGATTTGATATTTAGGCAGTGTTTGTTTTCTGTTGCTTGAGTGGAGGCAGGCTTTATAGTTTTAGAGAGTTAAGAAAAGATGATAGAGGATAGATAGTGAAGAAATAGATGGATAGATGGATGGATGATAGATGGATGGATAAATGGATGGATGGATGGATGATGGGTGGATGATGGATGGATGGATGATGGATGGATAATAGATGAATGATGGATGGATGATGGATGGATGATAGATGGATGATGGATGGATGAAGGATGGATGATAACAGATGAATGATGGATGGATGATGGATGGATGGATGGATGGATGATGGATGGTGGATGATGATAGATACACAGATACATAGAGAATAAATGGATGGATGATGGATGGTGGATGATGATAGATACAAAGATACATAGAGAATAAATAGATGGATGGATGATGGGTAGGTGGATGGATGACAGATGATAGATGATAGATAGATAGATAGATAGATAGATAGATAGATAGATAGATAGATATTCTATCTATGTAAAGTAGAATGACAGAAAAATGAGAACCAAGTAGACATTCTGAGGAAGCTAGTCTGGGGGAGGATGGTTCAAGATACTAACTCTTACCTCTGTGCTGCCCTGTACCTCTCCCACTACGTCCCTATCTTCCTCAGATGATTTTGTCACCTGCATCATATAAATTGAGAATGTTTGAGAATTTTCTTGAGGATAATAGCTTGCATTTCAACATCTTTTAACTATTCAAATTATGTTTGTCTTCATCCCTCATCTTATCTTAACAACAACACCATAGCCTGATAAGTAGGGTGGTTACTACCACTCACACATGAGAGATGAGAAGATCAAGGCAGAAAGCGTCACACTGCAAGTGAGGGTGGGGTTAGGTCTACAGCTCCTACTTTATGCTCTTTGGACTTATCCACAGTTGCCAACCTTCTAAAATATTAAGCTATTTTTCTCATCATAAGAAAAAATTTTGTAACTGTGTGAGGTGATGGATGTCCACTTACAGTAATCATTTCACAATATATACATACAACAGATCCTTATGTTGTACACCTGAAACTAATACAATGTTACATGTAAATTATATCTCAATAAAATTAGGGGGAGATCAGTTACTTTTACTACAAAGGCAGTTAAACCATAGACACACCCTCTGGTGCCTGCTCCTATAATAATCAATATTAAAATTTTGATATGTACCTAAATCTATCCTAATACATATATACAGGCTGGTTTGTTTTTTGTTGTTGTTGGTTTTTGGTTTTTTGGTTGGTTGCTATTTTTGTTTTATTTTTGTGTTTTTTAAAACAAACATGGGAACACAGGGCACAACTTGATTTTTTAGCTTAATGTATCATGGACATTTGCCCAAGTTAATTCTGATGTTTCTAACCTCATTTTTTTAAATACCTGCTGAATATTAAATATATAATTTATTCAAATATTTCCCAGCTGATGGTTTTTCAGAATTTATATGTTTGTACTTCTATAAACAACACTATATTGAGCTGAATAAAATGATGGGTTTTTTAATTAGAATTCTTGCCAAAAAAATAAACTGTAGTAATTCATATTCCACGGTAAATAAATGAACATCTTCTTTTCCTTTATATAACCTCATGACCAACAAAGATGATTGCTCTTTTTTATCTCTGCCAACGTGTTGGGGGAAAAATGTAATTTTGTTTTTCTTTTCATTTTCCTAATTACTAGAAGAGAAAAGTGTATTTTCCATGAGTTTTAGCCACTTATGTTCCTGTCCACATACTTGCCTTCATATATTTTGCCCCTTTTTACTTGAGTTGTTTGTATTTTATTGTCAATTTTTAGAGGTTATTTATATAATAGAAATAGTGGCTATTTGTCAGGTTACAACTTTTATTTTTAGTCTATAAATTATTATAAATTTTGTGTTTTTCAGTTTTTAGCATTTTATAAAAATAAATTCATCTAATTTTTATTCTCTGAAATTCAGTGCTGTTAATTTATATTAGTTATGAACATCCAGAGCTTTAATCCCTCTAGGGCTCTGTTTTCATCCAGATAAACAGCAAAGTATGTCTGTCCTATTTATATACCATCATTTTCCCATTTAATTAAGACATTTTTGTCATTTATTAAGTTTTATTTATATATTTGGATCTGTTAATACACTATTTTACATATGAATATATAGACATATCCATGAATATATTTATCAGTTCCCATGGCAACATACTGCTTTTATCAGTGTAGCTTTTAATATGAATTTTAATATTCAGAAAGGCAAGTTGCTACACAAAGTCTTTTTTAAAATTTTCTTGGCTCGGAGATGTCCATCGACAGATGAATGGATAAAGAAGATGTGGTATATATACACAATGGAATATTATGCAGCCATCAAAAGGAATGAGATCTTGCCATTTGCAACGACATGGATGGAACTGGAGGGTGTTATGCTGAGTGAAATAAGTCAATCAGAGAAAGACATGTATCATATGACCTCACTGTATTTAATCTCAGGAAACAAACTGAGTGTTGCTGGAGTGGGGGGGGGTGGGAGGGATGGGGTGGCTGGGTGATAGACATTGGGGAGGGTATGTGCTATGGTGAGCGCTGTGAATTGTGCAAGACTGTTGAATCACAGATCTGTACTTCTGAAACAAATAATGCAACATATGTTAAGAAAAAAGAAAAAGAAGAAGATAGCAGGAGGGGAAGAATGAAGGGAGTAAGTCGGAGGGGGAGACGAACCATGAGAGACGATGGACTCTGAAAAACAAACTGAGGGTTCTAGAGGGGAGGGGGTGGGGGGATGGGTTGGCCTGGTGATGGGTATTAAAGAGGGCACATTCTGCGTGGAGCACTGGGTGTTATGCACAAACAATGAATCATGGAACACTACATCAAGAACTAATGATGTAATGTATGGTGATTAACATAACAATAAAAAAATTAAAAAAAAAATTTTCTTGGCTCGGGGCGCCTGAATGGCTCAGTGGTTGAGCGTCTGCCTTCAGCTCAGGTCATGATCCCAGGGTCCTGCGATCGAGCCCTGCTTAGGGCTCCCTGCTCAGCGGGAAGCCTGCTTCTCCCTCTCCCACTCCCCCTGCTTGTGTTTCCTCTCTCGCTGTCTCTCTCTGTCAAATAAATAAACAAAATCTTTTTAAAAAAATAAAAAATAAAATTTTCTTGGCTCTCCTCAGACATTTATTATTCCAATAAATTTTAAGGTCATTTTTCCTAGTGTCAAATTTTTAAAAATAAGCTTTTGGTTAAAATAACATTAAATAGGGGCACCTGGGTGGCACAGTTGGTTAAGCATCTGACTCTTGGTTTTGGCTCAAATCATGATCTCAGGATTGTGAAATCAATCCCTGCATGGGGCTCCATGTTCAGGATAGAGTCTGCTTGAGATTCTCTCTCCCTCTCTCTCTGCCCCTCCCACTTGTGCTTTCTTTCTCTCTAAAATAAAGAAATAAATCTTTAAAAAATAAAATAGCATTAAACATATTTATTAGTTTAGAAAATTTTCACTTCTTATTGTGAAGTCATCCTATCCGGACACATTGTAGGTCTATTACTTTAGTATTTGTGGGAGTCCTTCAGAATACAATTATGTTCTTCATAATATGAAGACCTATATGCTTCTTGATAAATTTATTCCTAAATATTTTATGGATTTTTATCACCCTTGTGAATGAGATTTGATTTTTACATTTTAACTTCCTATCCATTATTGTTGATACAAAAGCTACTAATTTTTATGTTTTTCTTTTATCCAGAAAGATCATAAACTCTTTATTTTTATTATGTTATGTTAATCACCATACATTACATTAGTTTTTGATGTAGTGTTCCATGATTCATTGTTTGCGTATAACACCCAGTGCTCCATGCAGAATGTGCCCTCTTTAATACCCATCACCAGGCCAACCCATCCCCCCACCCCCTCCCCTCTAGAACCCTCAGTTTGTTTTTCAGAGTCCATCGTCTCTCATGGTTCGTCTCCCCCTCCGACTTACTCCCTTCATTCTTCCCCTCCTGCTATCTTCTTCTTTTTCTTTTTTCTTAACATATGTTGCATTATTTGTTTCAGAAGTACAGATCTGTGATTCAACAGTCTTGCACAATTCACAGCGCTCACCATAGCACATACCCTCCCCAATGTCTATCACCCAGCCACCCCATCCCTCCCACCCCCCCCCACTCCAGCAACCCTCAGTTTGTTTCCTAAGATTAAAAATTCCTCATATCAGTGAGGTCATATGATACATGTCTTTCTCTGATTAACTTATTTCACTCAGCATAATACCCTCCAGTTCCATCCACATCGTAGCAAATGGCAATATTTCATTCCTTTTCATGGCTGCATAATATTCCATTGTATATATATACCACATCTTCTTTATCCATTCATCTGTCGATGGACATCTTGCCTCTTTCCATAGTTTGGCTACTGTGGACATTGCTTCTATAAACATCAGGGTGCACGTACCCTTTCGGATCCCTGCATTTGTATCTCTGGGGTAAATACCCAGTAGTGCAATTGCTGGGTCGTAGAAACGTCATAAACTCTTATTAATTCTAATAGATTTTATTGGAGTGTCTTGAGATTTCTAGGTGTACAATTACATCACATACAAATAATTTTTAAGGGCGCCTGGGTGGCTCAGTTGGTTAAGCGACTGCCTTCGGCTCAGGTCATGATCCT